AGAAGCCAGCACAAGGAAAACTAGGCAGGCGAGCAGGCAGCGGGACAGGCTAGAACAAAGGAGAAGCAGGCAGGAGATGGATCCTAAAAACATGCAGCTCAATAGCGTGGAATCAACAGATTCAGCTTGCACCAACACGTTACCACTTATGACAGCGACAATACTCCAACACCAGACGTCCGTGACTCAGCTCCATAAAAGCACTCGCTGATGACGTCCGATGCGCCGCAGGTGTGCCGGAATGCCATCAAGCCCCACCCCGCCTACCTATGCCAAAAAGGGAAACAAAACCCAAGAACAACAATACACCTACCCCACCACCTCCTAACAGGTATACAGAGAAGTTCAGGGTTGACTTAGTGACTCCAAAGCACTCAGGTCCTGTGTAGAGATGGGAATTGATAAGAAATCCAATTCCTTATTGATTCCCATTGGCTCCACTTTGAGTCACCACCATCTCTAAGCAGCGTATCAAAGACATTACATTTATGCAAATTAATCACATGCTGAGTGTTCAAATCTTGTGAATCTTGGAGATTTTTGTTGTGATCAGTGTTGGGGTCATTATTTAAAAAAAAAAAAAAAAAAGTAACTATTGCATATATGCAGAACACTTTTCTTAAAACTAATGCAGTACGTTAGTTAATTACACCCACAATAAAAACAGTCGTTATACTACTCGAAACGTTGCTTTCATGTTACTCTGTAAAGTGATCTGAAACACACTGTCTCTTAATTGGCATTTAAAAATATAAACATACAGGCGACAACCCCACACACCAACACAAATGCTGACCAGGACAAGTGTGATCTTTCTCTTAGTGTTTAGGTATGTACACAAAGCCGACAGCACAAGTCAAAGATGAAAACCAGTGCAGATTTTAAAGCGGTTGTCATGGTGATTCTATTGTAGAAACATGAGCTGGTGGAAACTCAGGTCATCAGTTTATTACCTGTTGAAGTTCAGCAGTGGCTTGTTTCTGTCCTAGAGCAGTCTCCACTTTACAGTCGCATTCTCAGCCTTTTGTGCAATAAAAATAAAATAATGTTCCACTATTTTCCAGTTCTCTACAAGAACTGATTCTCAATTCCAATTCCTGCAAAACAATACCAAATTACCACCCCTACACCACCATGCTTGACAGTTGGTATTTGGTTTAGGCTAAACATGGTGCTGTGATTTATGACAATCAGCATCTCCACTTTGATCTTTCCATTCCCATTGTTCCTTGTGGTTTGTTCAGATGCAACAGAAAATCCTTTTTCACCGCAACCCTCCCAAACAAGCCATGACAGTATTTATTGTACTGTCATGAACTACTTGGGTTATTTGCAGTTTCTCCGATCATTGCACAGTCTGAGCTTAGGGTGAATTTTCTGAGATATCTACTCCTGGAAAGATTGACAGCTGTCTTCTTTCTACTTGTAAATAATCATTCTTACTGTAGAATCATGGTCTTCTAAGCCATCAGAGACTGATGGGGAACAGTTGGTTCTCTAAGGTGATTGCTGATGTCTCTCCTCCTTGGAATTGTGAATGCACTAGACCTGCAAACTACCAAACCTTCTGCTTTTATAGAGGTGCTCAACCTTACTGATGATCAGTTAATAAAGTGCTTTTGGTTATCAGCAAATGGCTTCTTCTCTCAGTTTCGATTGAAGCAGTAAAAGAGTACTTAGGCTTTTTTAGACTTAGTTGTTTTTCCTTCTTAGCTTAATTGTTGTTGAATAAATAATAGGACAGTGTAAGATGTCATCTGGGGTTGTATTTATATAACATTAAGTTGTGGTAAGGACCAGATGATTTGTTAAAGCGTTAGAATTGATAGAGGGTGGATGAACCTCAAGAAGTGACATCAACTTAATCAAATAGAATAGAAGTAAACATGTATCACTAAAAACACAGTTTTGTTAAAATAATGCAGATATTATCATCTCATCATGCTGAACTACTTTTTTCTTTTTTTCAGTTTCCTTATTCCATCCATGCCTTCA